TATCATTTGCACCAACGTGGATGGAACTAGAGGGTATTATGCTAAGTGAGATAAGTCATTCAGAGAAAGACAAATATCATATGACTTCACTCATATGTCGAATTTAAGATACAAAACAGGTGAACATAATGGAAGGGAAGCAAAAATAATATAAAAACAGAGAGGGGGACAAAACATAAGAGACTCTTAAATACAGAGAACAAACTGAGGGTTGCTAGAAGGGCTGTGGGTGGGGGGATGGGCTAAATGGGTAAGGGGTATTAAGGAAAACACTTGCTGAAATGAGCACTGGGTGTTATACATAGGGGATGAATCACTGGAATCTACTCCTGAAATCATTATTGCACTATATGCTAATTAACTTGGATGTAAATTAAAAATAAATGAATAAATAAATAAATAAGAATATATAGTATATTCAATGGAATATTAGTCATAAAAAGAATGAAATCTTGCCATTTGTGACATTATTGGACTTTGAGAATATTATCCTAAGTGAAATAAGTCATATGGAAAAAGACAAATACTGTGTGATTTCCCTCATATATGGAAAGTAAAAAAATAAGTGAACAAACTAAAGAAAACAAACTCATAGGTACAAAAAACACAGTAGTGGTTACCAGAATTTAAGAGGGTTAGGGGGTGGGTGAAATGGGTAAAGGGGGTCAGCTGTATGGTGATAGATGATAATTGGACTTGTGGTGTGATCATGTGGTAGTGTATGCAGATGTCAAGTTATACACCTGTACACTTGAAACACGTATCTATGTGTGTGTGTGTGTGTATACACACACACACACACACATATGCATTTGGCATGTATATACATACATGCATACATATATACAAGAAAGTACTCTATGATTCCCTTTATGTGAGCTATCTAAAGCAGTCAAATTCATAGAAACAAAAAGAAAGTAGAATGATTGTTACTATAGGCTCAGGGGGTGGGGAAAGAAGGGTTGTTTCGTTTTAATTTTTTTAACATTTATTTTTGAGAGAGAGAGAGAGAGAGCATAAACAGGGAAGGGTCAGAGAGAGAGGGAGACAATCTGAAACAGGCTCCAGGCTCTGAGCTTTCAGCACAGAGCCCTATGCAGGGCTCGAACTCACAGACCACGAGATCATGACCTGAGCCGAAGTCGGATGCCTAACCGACTAAGCCACCCAGGTGCCCCCAGGGGAGTTGTTTTTTAATGGGTATAGAGTTTAAGATTTGCTATATGCAATAGTTTTGGAAATCTGTTTTATAGCCATGTGAATATACTTAACACTGCTGAATTTTACACTTAAGTATGGTTATGATGGTAAATTTTTTGCTATGTGATTTTTAGCCACAATAAAGTGCAATGAGATAAATAACTTACTACAAAGCTATAAGAATCAAGAGCGTATTATACTGGCATCCAGTCATACATCCAGATTACAGTAGAATTGAGAATTCATAAGAAAACCCTTATTTTTATGGTCAGTTGATTTTCAACAAGGATGCCAAGATCTAAAGGTATAAAATTTTTGGAAAACATAGAGTAAATATTTCTGACCTTGGATTAGGTAATAATTTGTTACATTGGACAATAAAAACACAAGTAGTAAAAGCAAAAAAAACTCTGATAAGTTGGGTTTCATATAGATCAAAACTTTTTGTGCTTCAGACAACACCATCAAGAAAAGACAACCTACCGAATGGGAGAAAATATTTGCGAAGTATATATCTGATAAGGAGTTTTATATCCAGAATATATAAATAACTCCTACAACTCAACAATAAAGACAAATGACTCAATAACAAAAGGGCAAAGGATTTGAGTAGGCATTTATTCAAAGAATATATACAAATGGTCAATATGTGGATGAAAGATGCTGAACATCATTAGTCAGTAGGGAATTACAAATCAGAACCACAAGGTTGCAATTCATATCTGCTAGAACTGGCTAAAATAAAATGGACAGATAAATGTTGGTAAGGATGTAGAGAAATTGGAACTCACACTTCTAGTGGGGATGTAAACTGGTGTGGCCTGTTTGGAAAAAAAATTCTGATAGTTCTTCAAATGATTAAACGCAGAGTTACCATATGACATAGCAGTCCCACTCCTGAATTAAATACATAGGAGGAATGAAAACATACGTCTATGCAAAAACTTTACACAAATATTTACAGTAACATTGTTGATAATAACCAAAATGTGGAAACAGTCCAAATAGCCATCAGCTTATAAATGGGTACACAAAATTTGGTATATTCATACAATGGAATGTTGCCAATAAAAATAAATATTGATACATGCTAAAATATGGACATACCTTGAAAATAATATGGTAGATGAAAGAAGCCAGTCAAAAAAAGGCCACACTTTATATGATTCCACTTATGTGAAGTGCTCTTGCATAGGCAAATCCATACAAATAAAAAGATCATTAGTGGTTGCCAGGAGATGAGTACTGGGGATGGGAGGAGAGATATGAGTACTGACTGCTAATGGATATGATTATCTTTTAGGGTGATAAAAGTATTCTGAATTTAGATAATGGTGATGGCTGTACAACTCTATATGTGTATTATGAATCACTGAATTATATAATTCAAAAGGATGAATATTATGTGAATATCATTTCAGTAAAGCTAGTATTTTAAGAAAGTTTCAGTGAGCTGACACTCCTCCTTCATCATATTAAAAAATTAACTCTCTTTATTTTACTTTTTCTCCTACTAGTTATAATTGTTTACTTTTCCATAGTTTTTTTTTATATGTGTGTGTTAATAGGTTTTTATACTTGGGAGACTTTTATTGATTATTGTTTGATATGTATTTTTAACAAAAACTGTATAAACTGAAATGAAAGTTTCATATCTATTTTGATACCTTTGATGACTATAATACTACAAGTATTTAAATATAAATTGTTCTTCAAGAAAATTTTGTTATTAACAATACAAAATTGAATAAAAATGGTGTTACAAGTATTTGAATTCACATCATATATTAAAGAACATTTTGGTTTTTAACTAATGATTAAATTATGCCCTCTTTTGGTTTGGTTAAAAGCAAAGAATTGGAAGCTGTCTGACTTGGAAAAGACATTATTCATTCATTTTCTCAAATCCTCAGGACATAACCAAAAACGCCATGTCAAGTCATATCAACATTACTATTAAATATACTTGTTACTTTTTACCTTGTTCTGATATCTTTGATAAAGACTGGGAAGGTTGAGTTATTGTGTTTTTCAGTATAGTGTTGTGAAACTATTTTTTATTAAAGTTTCTGTGCTTTAAGTTTTCATCAAAACTTAGGGCTAGAGATTTAACTTACTTAAATTATGGAAATATCTACCAAATTCACTGGCAAAACCATTTTTCATTGTTAAAATATTCACTCAGTCTTTCATATGCATTCTGACTATGCCCTCTTTGCTAATGGAAGAGGCAAGGTTTTTAACAAAAGTTATTTAGCACTTTCACTAAAATTAATTAGATAGGATGGGTTGGGCTATTTGTTTCGTGTCTTAAAGTAGAAGAGCAGTTGTGAGAGGGGAAGTGGGAAGTGATTACTTTTGAGATACACAGGTGTATATGTTCCCAGGCATATCTGTACTTTTGAAGTTAAAGTGTTGTGTACATAATCTCTTAAACGTATCCTTGGCTTTGTATCCCTCTTAAAATCTTTGTTTCCTGGAATATTTTTCCTCAACTTGAAGGCTAATGTTCTACCCCACTCTTAGTCTTTCATGAAAAATAACCTCGTGGAACATACATTTTATTTGTATGCATATTGTGTACAAGGATATTGATATGCTGGTACACTTCCTGTTCACTTGGACCACATTTTGGCAAAGACCATATTTTGCCTGTGCCTGTTGTGGACAGATTTCTCTTGGTGTCCATATTGAACCTCTGAATCCTTCACGACTGGTGGCTCTTACTAGTTGACTAGAGCTGGCATAAGAGACACTTCTCTTTCATACCACCTTTATTAGTTTCCTCACTCTGACATATTTGTATCTTCTTTTTTTGTAGTTTAGATATCCTAATTACATTTTACTTTTTTTCATTTTGTTTATTAATGTGATTTTTTTTTATTATTGAGCTTATCCTTCAATCAGTTTGGAAATGTGTTTGGAAATAATTTTCCACGAGTCTCTTGCATTTCTGTACATTTTGTGAACAGAAGCTTTGGTTGCCTTTGTTCTCGTCTACTTTTACACATTTTTTTCTATAGTGAGCAGCTTTGGAATATATAATGACTAGAGAGCAATGCATAAGTTTGTTTATTATAGCCTTGGATGATACGAGTTGGTTCGTTCCTTTAGAGCAAAAGTGATAGGCTTATTGCCCATTACAGTTATTCAGATTCCCACATCTCAGGGCTCCTTTCCTGTATCACAACCCACCACGTGTGCATATCAGCTGTCCCCGCTCAGGTTCTCTGAGCATTGGGACTCTGGAAACTGGAGCAAGAAAATGCTGTCATTTTGGTTACTCCTGTTGTTGTAATAAATGCCTGTGCCTCTGACTCAGGACACTTATTACTTCATCTGGTAACGTGAGATAGTGATAGACTAGTTTGTTAGCGTGAAAGTGGCTAAAATCTCAGAGCCTTCACAGTTCTTGACAATATGTAGGAAATACAAATAAGCAAATAAATAGCTACCAGAGTTCAGCTCAGAAATGTCATTTTATCCATGTTTTTCTTTAAAAACTAACATATATATCATATGTATAAATGTGGCATAAATTTCTCGGATTTTTTTCTTAGGTTAAAGTAAAGGTTTGGCATAATTCTGCTATTTATATTTAATGACTCTTTTGAAAGCATAATAAGCCATCTGTTTCTCATATGCATATAAGTTTGTATTATATGTATGTATGGATATATACACATATATGAGGGGTGTGTATTCATGGTTTGAAAAACCAAATTAATCTTGCTTTGCTTAATCATGTTTTTAAGAATTCCATGTGTGTCATGATGATGTATTATTTGCCTCTATTCCAGAATATTGGAAAGAAGATGACCTGCCAAGAGTTCATTGCAAACCTCCAAGGGGTAAATGAAGGTGGTGATTTCTCCAAGGATCTACTGAAAGTAAGTATTGAAATATTGGTTTTTAAAATATGCTTGTATGTATCTTTCTGCTTATTTTTAAATATAAAATAGATAGGCTAAGGACCACTTAAGTATTTGGGTTTTGCTTTTGGTTTTGGTGATATTTCTGTTGGGCCTCATCCTTGATGTGTCAGACTGCAAGTACCCTTTAATGAATTAATGCTAAAATTTCACATTATAATCAATAATACTGAGATAATAAGTAGATTTGGAATAATTGGTGATTCATAGTGGGAAGTTTTTGATTCATTTGCAAGTGTACTGTCAGAACTTGAGAAAGATCACAAAGGTATATTCGCTATGGAAAAGAAAAAAAAACATTTACATGGTATAATGGAAGCAGTTCTGACTATATTCAGTCCCTAGTTACAGAGCCACTTAGGTTGTCTATGGAAATGTAAGTAATTGCAGAATATCTGAATTATTTCTCCTTGGCTTTATTATTGGTAACAATCAGCATGCTTTTCCCTATCAGATTTTCAAGGAGACAACAAAGTCAGCTTTGGAATTCATAACATTCCATAGCAGTATAGATGAGATATGCATTTGATTAAATACAAAATAGTGATTGATAATAGATGTGAATATTTTAGAAGTTCAGGATAAGATGTGTATGTTCACAGATTTCTATTTTATTCTAGCGTTCTTTTCTAAAACTTTGTACATATGTAGGCTTTGAATTTGCTAAGGAAACACATGTGAATCATGGTGTAATCTTTCTCTCTCAAAAATAAACAATAAAAAAAAGAAATGAGAATTGACAGGAAAAATTTTCACAGTGAACCTTTTAGATTTTATTCGTAGGCTTATGGTAACATGCATGACTGTGGATGAATTATTGGGCAGATTTAGAGCATGTGTGATGGAGCTATCTGAAACCAAATGTAGTTAACATACAGTCCAGTGGCTGCCATTCACCTTGGGTAAACATATGTTCTTTGATTTACTTTGCCAAGAATTTGCTGGATGACTTGTTATAGTTGGGACTATATTGAGATCCTATTTATAAACCTCAGGGGAGAAAACATGTATTATAGTCTTTTTTATTTACTGTAGGAAGATGACAGTGAAATAACACCGAAAATGACGGTGGCATTTAGCATGGAAATTGCCAGGTAAAATACTGATTCCCTTTGATAGCAAACCTCAGCCACTCACCCACCTAAGATGAGGGTTTTCCCTTTCAGTAAGCATCTGGATTTTACTGCAGATTTCAATCAAGAAAAGGTTTTCTTCAAACCATTTTTGTTTCATTTCTCTTTTTGATGTGGCTCTCCTTTTTTCCTTCCCTGCCCTCCTTCTTCTTCCCCCTCCTCCTTTCCCTCCCTTACTTCCTCTGTTTCAATTTATATATGCCTTTTCCTTTCTCTTTTGTTTTTCTTTTTGTCTCTCTTCTTTCTTCTCTCTCATCTCGCTCTCTCAGACTCTCTCCCTCACTGTCTTTCTCAGTGGCTATCTCATGATTCTCTTGAGAGATAAATTAGTAGGTGGAATTCAAGTTAATATTTGAACTTTTGTGGAAAGTGATTATACACATGCCATACAGACAGATAACATACCTATATACAGATAAACAGAAAACACTTGATATCATCTTACAAGGTTTTGAGTAACCTAACTCCTTTACACCCTTTCTCCAACTTAAAAATTACAGGCATATACAACATTCAGTTTAATTTATTAGGTAACATGAATAGAGTTAAATGGATTGAACTGAGGTTTTCATTGATACATAGTGATATTATTACTTTTAGATTTCTTTGGATCAAAAGTAGCATTTGTTATTTATTTTTTTTTTATTAATTTAGAGAGAGAGTGAGAGATAGAGAGTGTGAGCATGGAAGGGGGCAGAGAGAGGGAGAGAAAGAATCCCAAGCAGGCTCCTTGCTGTCAGCACAGATCCTGATGCAGGGCTTGGTCTCACAAACCCTGAGATCATGACCTGAGCCAAAATCAAGAGTTGTATGCTTAACCTACTGAACCACCCAGGCACCCCAGGATCGAGAGTAACAATTTAATTTATGTCTCTTCAGATTTCTTTGGACCAGTAGTAACATTCCAACTATGGTTAGATAGTAGGGAATATTTATTGAAGGCCTACTATGCGTTCAGCGGGGGTTGTGGATTTGGAGAACTAGCTAGAACTAAATGGACTCCTGTCCTCACAAACTACTGAGAAAGATGGATGGTTCTTTTTCCCTTAAATGAATAGTTATTCCATATTAAAATTAAAATATAAACTGTGCTTGTTCTCAACAGAAAGTTATCAAAGAAGATAAACTGATAAACCTTAATGTATTTATTTTTAAAAATTTTTAACATTTATTCATTTTAGACAGAGTGCCAGCAGGGGTGGGGCAGAAAGAGAGAGAGAGACACAGAATCTGAAGCAGGTTCCAGGTTCTGAGCTGTCAGCAGAGAGCCTGACCAAGGCTCCAACTCACAAGCCGTGAGATCATGACTTGAGCTGAAGTCAGATGTTTAACCGACTGAGCCACCCAGACACCACAGCCTTGAATGTATTTAAATGTATGAAAAATGAAAAATTTATTTCAAGGCTTTAATTCAGAGACTTAAATTAATATTTTGCTTTAATTTTGCCTTGGACTACGTTAAAGGCATAGATGATACATTGAGCTCTTTTTCACAGTTTACAATTCCACAGCAGTTTCCCTTTTCACTCAAATGACCTAAACAGACAAATGAATGCTTTGTGCAAATAAGAATGTTTCCCTTGCAAGTTGCTTTGAGTATAAATTCTAGATACCTATAGTATAAAGTAGAATAATTTGGATACCAAAAGACAGTGATAAAATATTTAATTTCTTTGAAGTTGAAGTCTGGCTGGGAGGATGTGATATTTGAGATAGGCCTTTGAAATATAGGTGCAATTATACTAGTAGACTTATTTTGGTTTTTAGTTAGATTATTATTCTGTTTCACCTTCCACCCCCTTTCTCACCCATATAAACATTAATGTTCCCTGTGGTAAGTACCTCTCCTTATTATTTCACCAAATCAAGACAACACTTCATTTAACAAAATCTGCCAAGCCATCTGTCATGTTTCACGGCTGCCCATCCCAACACTTGGATGTGGTTTGTGCTTAAGCGTCCTTAGGACGATGTGGAAAAGAAGGGAAAATGGATATTCTGCTTTTAGTTCTGACAGAATAAGGCATTCCTAAGATTTTATAATAAGTAATAAAACCTTTAAGTACATGAATAGAGAGGGATGAGAATGTAGAATGTGGGCCAGCTCTGGATTGGAGGCTGAACTTTCTGAGAGACATTATCACGTGGCAATTATGATTATGGACTTGGGAGCTATACTGACTGGGTTCTAATCCCAGCTCCTGCTGAGGGATCATAAGTAAATTCACTGAAACTTAGTCCCTTGACTTCGTCTTCTGTGAAATGGGAGATTTTATTAGTACCCATCTCATCAGTTGTTTTAATAATTGAATGAGTTACTATATAAAGCCTTTAGAGTCCTAACATGTAATAAATGCTATATATGTTAGATATTATATATTTTTATTTAAAATATTATTTTATTTGTTACCAGCTTGAAGTAGACTGGGAAGGGCCTACATCCCTTTCTTCCAGGGTTTGGATCTAAGGTGTTTTTACAACTACTAGGACCAAGTAGTTTTTACAACTTACTAGGGCTGATTAAGATTAGCTTTAATGCACAAGACCTCTATTGCCCATCCTTTTTTAGCCTAGGCATACACATTCTCTTGCTGTTTCAAAGGGACCGTCTGTGAACTTGACTTTGAGCATTTCCTCCTTTTGTGGTAAGATTTTTAACTGTCATTTATGGCTTCCTTTCTTTCCAAAGACTTGTTGGTTCCACTTTTGCACTGTTGGTGGGATTGCAGACTGGTGTAGCCACTCTGGAGAACAGAGTATGGAGGTTACTCAAAAACTTAAAAAACAGAACTACCCTACAATCCAGCAATTGTACTACTAGGTATTTACCCAAAGGTTACAAAAATACTGATTCAAAGGGGCGCATGCACTCTGATGTTTATAGCAGCATTATCAGTAATAGCCAAACTATGGAGAGAGCCCAAATGTCCATTGCTTGATGAATGAATAAAGAAAATATGGTGTATATATATACAATGGACTATCACTCAGCCATCAAAAAGAAAAAATGAAATCTTGCCATTTACAATGATGTGGATGGAGCTAGAGAGTCTTATGCTAAGCAAAATAAGTCAGAAAAAGACAAATACCATATGATTTCACTCATATGAGGAATTTAAGAAACAAAACAGATGAACGTATGGGAAGGAGGGAAAAAAGAAAAAGTGAGAGGGAAACAAACCAGACTTTTAAGGATAGAGAACAAACTGAGGGTTGATATAGGGTGTTGGGGGGGAGGGCCTAAATGGGTGATAGACTTTAAGGAGGGGACTTGTTGTGATGAGCACTAAATGTTATATGTAATTGATGAATCATGAATTCTGCTCCTGAAACCAATGTTGCACTGTATGTTAACTACCTAGAATTTAAATAAAAAATTAAAAAAAAAAAAAAAAAGACTTGTTGGTTCTGAAGAATCAAAATTTTCCACAAGAAACATTTGTTCCATAAAGTCTGTGTTAACATTGTGGAGACACTTGAAAATGAACCTTGGTTAATCCTGTATTTTCCTTGCCTTTTTACCTTGTTAACAACAGGTTATTTCTCCTCGACTTTATCTCTCTTGCCACGCTTTTATATCTTATATTTGGCTTGGGTCTTTGAAGCTACAAGGGTGGTGGTCCCGTACCTTCTTACTTAGGACTGTGTGGAGAAAACATAAGAGAGCAGGTGGGCATCTAGCAACCTTTCTTTTTTCCCGCAGAGTTTTAGACACTTCAAATAATTCCCATCTCCATTAATATCCCAGGATTATTTGGGGATCTTTAAAGAGAACAAGAACTAATTTGCTTCCTCAAAGGTTCTTCCAGATTCCAGGACCAGTTT